TGCTCCTCGTCGTCGTAATAATAATTTTTTTTTTTTTATTCTGTGATAAAAATTAAAATTTTTACTCAGTGCGTGCTTGCGTGCGTGAATTAACGTGAACACTTAACCCAAATTTATTAAATGAATAATCCTACGCAATAATTATAATAATAATAATAATAATGGTAATAACGATAATAATAATATTAATCAATTAAATAATTTTTTTTTTTTTGGGTTGTTACACAATTGAATTTGAAACTTTTTTTTTTTTCTTCCGATTTGAATTAATAATTTATTTTTTATCGTAATAAAAAATTGTGTGTGTGTGTGTTGGGGGGGGGGGGGAAACGTGGAATTGTCTTTTTTTTGTAAGGTAATAAATTTCATTTAGAAAAAAATTATTACTAGGGTAATAAAAAAAATTTTTTAAATATTAAACAAAATAAAACGGATAAGAAAATTTTTCGATTATTACACGTAGAACAAGTTGCATAACTTTTATTTTTGTCAGGCGTTAAAAAAAAATCAAGGTGGTGTCTTATTGCAGTTTTGCCAACGTAAAATTTTATTTTTTTAAAAGAAAGGGTTTTGAATGGGTGCTGCCAACTTTTCTTTTCTTTTTTTTTGGTTTTCCGTTATTTTTGAAAGCTCAAAACGACGTTTTTTTCTCTCCACCAAAGTTTTTCCAAATGGTCGACAAGATCTCTCATGATGGTTCGACATAATTGTCGTTTAATTGAAAAAAATTATTAATTAAAAATTTTTCCTTTTGATTAAATAATTAATTAGCAGTAGACAAATTTATTCAAAGAGAGAGAGAGAGAGAAAAAAAAACTAAACATTTTATTATAAAACGATCATCACCACTCTCGGTAAATCGTACACTTTCAGTCGGTACTTCCACACTTATATTATTATTATCATCATCATCATTATTCACATACGTCACGACAATATCATCACATTAAAATTTAAATTATAAATAATAACTTGAAATGATAATAATAATAGTAATAATAATAATAGACAAAAAAAAAAATTTTTTTACTATTTAAATTATATTTATTGACAATATGCCTCCCTCTCCAGAGTTTCACAATATTCTCCAGCCTTTTAGTCTCTTCTTATCATAATGAATTTTTAACCTTTCCCCTCCCCTGCCCCCCTCCGATCTATTTCCCATTAAAAACAACAAAAAAAAAATTTTTGGATTTCCATTGCTTTTTAACATTTATTAAAAACCTTTCACAATTAATAAGTAATTAATTTTTTTAATTATAAAACATCAACTTTATTATTATTATTATTATAAAAACGCGTTAAAAACCGTTAGTGATAACGATTGATAATGATAACAATATAAAACCGAAAACAAAAAAAAAATTAAATTAAATCTAAAGTCTGTCTCTTTGATAATTAAAAACCTTTCTTTTCTTTAAATAATAATAATAATAATAATAATAAAATTTTGGAAACTTCTAGAAAATTATTAATGAAACAAATACTAATAATAATAATAATAATAATAATAATAATAATAATGATAATAATAATCGAGAGCGTTAACAAATTCAAAAGGGAGTTAAAATGTTAATAAAAAATTATAATTTTTCTAGAGAAAAAGAGAAGGAGAAAGAGAGAGAGTTAAATTAAGACAGAGAGAGAAAAAATAATAATAATAATGATATATAAAATTTTCCATTTTCATTTATCCAAAATAATAATAATAATAATTTTTTTTTAAAAATCGTATCCATCGTAGTTAAAAACTGTGGTAACTCGATTATTTCAACAACATTTTTATTTATTTATTTATTTATTAAAAAAAATAATAATAAGAAATTGTTCTTTTTTAAATCAGCCAAACGAAAACAATATTATTATTATTATTATTATTATTATTATTATCATCATCATTATTATTATTAATAGTACATTTAAACAACAGAAAAAAAAATTTGCAAAGCATTGAATTAAAAGTGACGAGGAAAAGAAAAAAAAAAAACAAAAAAAACTCATCAAACCTATTTTCTTTCATCACCGAAATAATAATAATAATAATAATAATAAAACATTATGTTAACAATGTCAATCGATAATTATACTATTTATTTTTTAAAAAATAAATTATTGTTATCATTATTATTGTTACTATTTTTTTTTTTAAATACAAAAAGCAAATCAAATAAATATTAATAATAAAAATGGGTGGAGGGATGAAGAGGGGGGAATAGAAGAGGTAAGAGTAGGAGTAGGAGGAGGGGGGAATAAAAGTACAAACAAAATCACAAAAATAATAATCGAGAGCAAAAATAATAATAATAATAATAATAATAAATGAAAAACAAAATTTTTTTTACAAAAAAGAAAACACAACCAGAAGAAAGCCATCAATAAAAATTTATTTATTTTTATTTTCTGCGTGTAAATACTTTCCTATATTATTACTTATTTATCACTTTAAAAAAAAAATTAAATAATAATAACAAGAAGTTAATAATAATAATAATAATAAAAACCTAATTAATATTTATATATATATTTATAATTAATTAATTACTCGGAGATATTTCGTTACTAAAGCTTTTTATTTATTTATTTATTTTTTATTTGTTATTAATTTCTTCTTCTTCTTTTTATTTATTTATTTATTTTTTTTTTGCCCGAACAAGCCACGTCACGATAAAAATAATAATAATAATAATAATAATAATAATAAAAAACAAAAAAAAAAAAAACTTAACTCTTTTTACTATTTTTTTTTATTATTATTATTTATTTAGTTAAAGAAAAGCTATTATTATCATCATCATCATCATCATCATCATCGTACACGTGTATTTGTTTGTTTGGTAATAATATAAATTCGAAGCTCTGAATTACGCACGCACACGCACACGTACACGGGCACACACAGGCACACACGCACTGGGTTTTAGTTAGTTTTCTCATCGTTTATTTATTGTTTATTAAATTTCACGCACACGCACACACACACGGGCACGCACGCACGCACACACGCACAAATTAAAAAATAAAAAATAAAGGACCACGTCGTTAACATAATAAAAAATAATAATAGTAATAATAATAATAGTTTTACGCACGAAACGAGCGTAAAAAAAATAAAAAAATTTTTTTTTTTCGTAATGCCTCTTAATTATTATTATTATTAAGTAATTAATTAATTTAATTAATTTAATTTTTTCGTTTCACAACAAAACAACAACCAAAATAAAAAAAAAAAAAAATTACAGTAGTAGTAGTAGTAATAATAATAATAATAATAATAATAATAATAATAATAAGATTATTTTTTTATTTTCATCATGAGTATTCCAAATAAAAGAAAAAATAAAAATTAAATTAATAATAATAATGATAATAATTTTTTTTTTATTAGTAAATCCAATGCGAGAGAATAGAATAGAATAGAATTGAAAAAAGAGTAATAATAATAATAATAATAATAACATTTTAAATACTTTTTTTTTTTTTTTAAATTTTATTTTATTTTATTTTATTAATGCGTGTCAATGTTTGTTAATTAATTAATTAATTAATAATTAATTATCGAGTATAAAAATCGATCAATTATCAAGCAGACGAAACAAAAAAAAAAAAGAAAACAAATGAAAAATTAAAAAATAAATTAATAAAGAAAAAAAAAAAAAAGAAAGTAAACAACTTATATAGCAAGAAATAGTATCATCAAATCAAATTATCGATCAATAATCAATAATCGTTCTCGATCCATCGATCGATCGATCGGTCGGTCGTAAAATAATAATAATAATAATAATAATAATAATAATAATAATAAATTTTTTTAAATTTAATCATATCAAAATAATTTCTTCTTCTTCTTACTATTATCATTATCATTATTTATTTGTATTTTTCTACAAAACGATTAACTTTCTATTACAACAACAAAAAAATTTACTTCCTGATTGATTGACTGACTGATTATTATTATTATGACGATGAGAATAATGATGATGTCATCACAAGAAAACAAGAAAAAAAAAAAAAAAAAAAACAATTTTTCAAAATTTTAAAAAAAAAAAAAAAAAAACAAAAAAAACAATTAAAACTATTATCATTATTATCATTATCATTATTATTCAAATTATTAATTTTTTAAGTAACGATCAAACGAACGAACGAACGAATTTAAAAAAAAAAAAAAAAAATTTAAATTTAAATTTAAATTAAATTAATAAATAATAAGTCGTTTTGTTATTTATTTTAATTTTAATTTTTTTGTTTGTTTTGCGCACAAGCACAGGCACACTCGCACACGCACACGCACACGACTACCTTGCCAAACTTTTCCCTTTCCTCTTCCCTACCTCCCACCCACCTGCTTCCCCCTCCCTCCTTACCGGAAAAAAAAAAACCAAAAAGATTCGTTATCCGCACCCGCCGCCCTCGCCTGCCCAATATCGATTACAAACCCCCGCCCTTTTTT